ACATTTGTAACGTCGTTTTCGTATTTAAGGGAGAATCCTGACTAATTTTTCAACTACTTTCGAAGGAGTGTTGCTTCATCTAATGAATTAACAGCAAAAGTTTCTGATAGGATAAGATCGCAAAAGATACCAGATTATGAGTCTCCACAATCCCACTAGAAATGTTTTCTCCTTGTCATCCAGCTCCAAAAATCCATCGGAAAACATTTCACAGATTATAATCCATGCAGACCTATTTTTGGCTCTTTCATGGTATAGGTATATTTCTGAGGAAATATCCCATATCTCTGGGAACCAACCACTTTACTGCATCAATGAATAATTCTATATCCAAATCTTCAGAAGTTCTAGTAGCAGCCATCCTTTTTTGCGTCAATTTGCCGCAAGTGTGTACCAGCCGATATACAAACGAGTACTACAAAACCGCAACAGCGGCAGCGGTGCCGCCACGGTTCCGTAGGGACCTGCGGTTCAAAACGGTCGCCATTTGGACGCGCGGCCCCGCGGCGGCGCGCAGATGAATGTGCATTAACCCATTTACCTGTTAGTAATTTAAGCCGCAATTGCGGTGCCGCAGCGGCGATTGCCGCAAGTGTGCACCGGCGCTAAGGTACATGTTAGCGGTCGGTGTTGCCGTTGTCACACAACGTCCAACAACCGTTTATAATCTGACGATATGACTCTTGCCGCCACCGCTGGACGCCGTTTAGACATCGCCTCTAACTGCCTGCTTTATTGCATCGCGACACGAATCGTTCAACACGTTTTTCACTCTTAACATGCGCCCATAAAAAGAGCAGCCAAATGGTGTGAGATAAAAAGGCTTTGACCGATTACCAAATGAAACTGGTCATAACGAGGTAAATAGTCAAATTCAATGACATTATTGAAAAATTGCGTCTAGACCAATTCAAGTATTTATCGACATACGTACCATCTTCAGGTTCGTGAAGATGTCGCAACAAAGTTGCAGAGATGGACTTTGAAAATGCTGAAATAAGGAACCTTTTAGTTGTTAATTTAGTGCCATGGTTTAAAAATTAGGGGCTCAAAAACCAACAAGGATATTCTATGTTCAGTAATGTTATGCTAACTTTACGTAAAGCAAGCGCATTATCAAAATATTACTGAAAATTCGAGCGATTATTTGTACAGAACAATGAACGAACAGTAAGATCAAATTTCAAACAAGAGCAACCGAAACTAGCCGTGACTTATAACCTTTAAGATGTGTATAACATTAAAAAGATGTCAAGAGTAGTTTATGAATCCGTAATTTTTGAAGCTCAAGTCAACACGGACAATAATAATTTAATAAGTTGGATTTCCCCGCGGCTTCGCTCGCGTTGATGCTCTAAATACGTGTCAAAGATATCATCGACGACTACATAAAAATCGTTTCATTGAGTTGACTGGAAGGATGGACTGAAGGAAATAAAGGAAATTAAACAACAATATCAGATGTTTTTATAAGCATTTTTTCCAAATCTTCAATTCTTCAAGGCTTTTTTACAAAGAAAAACAGTTGTATCAAGTTTCACCATCATCATGAAGTCGTCAGTCCTAAGACTGGTTGGACACGTACCTCCGTTCTTTCCTATCCTGAGCTAAACTTCGCATTTCCCTAAAACTAGAACAACCCACATCCTTAACTATTTGCGAACAGTAATCTAATCTAGGTCGACCTCTACCCCTCCTAACTCTTGTTTCTGCCTCAATATGTCTCTGACTAGACCTTCATGCACCCGTACAATGCCGTGCTCCAAACATACACATTTAACAACCTTTTTCGAATTTCTAAATTAACCGTTCGCGAGCATAGAAGTGACTTTTTTTTATTAAAGGCGACTACTACTCCTTCCATCCTGACTTATCTGACTTCCTAGGTATTTAAAATCAGCCACTTCTTCTAATTTTTCGTCACCTATCATTATGCTCGCTCTTTCCCTACTTTTTCTTCTCTTCCATACCAGTATTTTAGTTTTACTTTTATTTATTTTTATACAGTACTGATCTGTCAGTACCGCTTCCATTTTATTTAAAGCTGTCTCTAGGTCCTCTTTGCTAGATGCTAATACTGCTATGTCATCTGCAAATCTAAGCATACCAATCTTTTGCCCTTGCACATCTATCCCTACAGTTGTACTGTCTTTAATGATGTTATTAAAAAATAAAAACCATAGCGAGTACTTTTGGTCAGTACCCCTAGCGTTAATTTCTTGGTAACTCCAGGTCAAAGATTTTGGTATTGAATATTCCACTATCAGGCCAATTTCATCTTCCTTCTAGAAACCCACTTGTGGTAGTATCATTTCATTTGAATGCATTTGCGTTACGATTAGTTGATGATTGTAATTTTATTTTTAATGTACTATTACAGTTGTAGGCGTTTTAAGATGTTACGTAAATGGAATAAAAACAGCATTGGTGTAACCGCTTTCTTTGTATGTATCCTAAATAAACAATGACATAAAGAAGTACAATTTTCCATTGAGTAATTGCTAAACGTTCTCGGAAAAGCACTGTCACTGCCTGCACAACACCATTGTTTAAAACACTTGGTTATTACCATTCTGTGTACTCAATAACTTTTATACAGGACACAACTTCTAAGACGAATGTTTCGATATTGTAAATAAAAGTACTTTTTTTTGTTTTTAACGAAGAAAAATCATTAACGGGTTAGTCAGTGGTCCGGCGCACCCATAAATTTAATGTTTTTGAAAGATTTGAACAAATGACGAATGGAGGCGATTATGGTACAGAGGAGGACCTAGGGAACAAGGCAAATGACGTCATACCATCTCATCTATCATCAAATTTGTTTTCTTTATTTTCTTGGTGTACAGGCCCTAAATAAGAGAAGCAAATATTAGGAAGGGAGACAGACAGGGATGCACACTGTCACCTCTACTTTTTAATCTATACATCGAAGACGCCATCAACATCATTAAAGACAGTACAACTGTAGGGATAGATGTGCAAGGACAAAAGATTAGTATGCTTAGATTTGCAGATGATATAGCAGTATTAGCATCTAGCAAGGAGGACGTAGAGAGAGCTTTAAATAAAATGGAAGCGGTCCTAACAGATCAGTATTGTATGAAAATAAATAAAAGTAAAACTAAAATACTGGTATACAAGGGAAGAAAAAGTAGGGAAAGAGCGAATATAAAGATAGGAGACGAAAAATTAGAAGAAGTGGTTGATTTTAGATACCTAGGAAGTCAGGTAAGTCAGGATGGAAGGAGTAGTAGGAATAGCGCAGGGTCGTGTCGCCTTTAATAAAAAGAAGTCACTTCTATGCTCGCGAACGGTTAATTTAGAAATTCAAAAAAGGTTGTTAAAGGTATATGTTTGGAGCACGGCATTGTACGGTTGCGAAACATGGACGGTGGGCGCAGCGGAAAAGAAAAGGTTAGAAGCCTTCGAAATGTGGTGTTATAGGCGGATGAAGAGGTAGTGGAATGAATAGGAAACAGAGGACTCTATGGAAGTCAAAAAAAAATAGGCGAGATAGGTTGGTAGGACACCTTCTCAGGCATAAAGGTCTAGTCAGAGACATATTAGAGGCAAAAACAGGAGTTAGGAGGGGTACAGGTAGACCTAGATATGATTACTGTTCGCAAATAGTTAAGGATGTGGGTTGTTCTAGTTTTAGGTAAATGCGAAAGTTTAGCTCAGGATAGGAAAGAGTGGAGGTACGTGTCCAACCAGTCTTAGGACTGACGACCTTATGATGATGATACAGGCCCATAAACTATCAGTACTTGTATTGGCATTCGTTTTGTTATAACGCCATAGATCTCGTGCAACGGTGTTTTGTTTTATATCAAGTAAGTATAATAATATTTGTGGATTTTAACATAAACCGATGCCAGATTAAGTCGGAAACAATTTTCACGTACGATTGGATGAGTCGAGTTCTTTACCTTCTGCAATTCGTAGAAAAGGAAGTAGGTGCTGCATATATACTTCATCCGCAATAATGAAACGACGAACATACAGAAAATTTGTAGGAAATGGAAAAAGATTAGTCGAAGGGGGAATGCGTTTTCAATGTTGTAAGATTGACGCTCTTTCTTGATACGATTTTCAGCGGTAACAATTTCCGTTCGTTGAATCTTCATTTACACGTTTTCTCTACTCGGTTTTCGTTAGATATTAATTTGCTGTCTTGTAAGAGGCGTCAGGGAGTCAGGCGTATTTTTAAGTTAAATGGTCGTATTTTTAGAGTTCGAACGTATTTTTGGACGATTTGATTTTTATTAGTAGCGTAACTGAAACGACACTTATTTCGTCGACTTCAGAAAAGTGAACAAACACGAAAATGTAACCTATTTATTTATATAAGAAGTACTTTACTTTAATATTGAAGCCATTGCCCTATGAAAATCGTCGGGAATAGAATTCTTATTAGTTACTAAAATATTTAGGAGACTGTATTAATAAATATACTTGAAAAAAAAAAAACAAATAACAGCAGAGCAATTTGAAGTTTTAAGTAGATTATAGGTTTTGATTATGCAGTTGTAGTCTCATATCCTCTAATTTTTTTGGAGGGGGCATATTTTCTTCAAATTTAAATAGGACTACCCTTCCGATAGAGGTTCACAACTGATGAAGAAATCGCGAAATATACACAAAAAAGTCTTTTGAGATTGAAAGTAGTTTTCATTGTTTAGCATACTTGCTTACTTAGTAAATTCTACTTGTTTATTTAATTATTTCTCGTTTTTAAAATGGATAAGTAACTTTAGTAGACATCCATTAAAAATAACCAGGAAGTAGGTAACGTAAATTCTGGATAAACATGTGGTTATTACCATTCTGTGTACTCAGTAATTTTTTTACAGGACACAACTTCTAAGATGAATGTTTCGATATTGTAAAAAACATGTTTTCACCTTTTTAATTCTCCCTCTGCTTTATTAGAAGTTTTCCAAGAAGGTACTTTTTCAGGAACCTCAAAATTTTACGCTGTTTTTCTTTTGTTACAGATCCTCGACAATGGACAGAAAGCCAAGTCCAGCACTGGATTCAGTGGGCAATGAAAGAGTTTTCCTTAGAAGGAATTGCGTTAAATCAATTTCACATGAAAGGAAAAGACATTTGTGCCATGGGCAAGGACGCATTTCAAGCGAGAGCTCCTGCCTTTGTCGGCGACATCTTATGGGAACACTTAGAATTACTACAAAAGGGTAAGTTTACCAGTTTTTAGACATATTGTATACTAATTCGGATTTTGAAAGCGGGTAAGTGGTAGTCCTAACGAGGTTTACCGTACAACCCCGTGTTGACCCCTGAAACAGAATGCTACCCACTTTAAAAAAATTTGAGATAATTTATCAGATTATAACAGCGGATAATACTTTTCAAATACGACAGATAACTACAAGTTTGTCTTTTTGATGTGTAATTAAAATCGGTATTAATATCAACTAATTAGTTTTAATTGATTTATCGACTGATTTATCGCTTAATTATGCAATTAATTAGTTTGTTCATTCCTATAATTAATTAATATAATATACAATTGATTATGAACTGATAAAATAATTGATGATTATTATCTATCAAACTGTGCTAAATTTTATGAAGTGATAAGCTGATGAAATTGGTCTTTATCTTGCATTTTCGCAAGACGAAGATTGTCTTTATACTAGTAAGACTAAGACCAAGGCCAAGATTAAAACCAAGACTGAACGAATAAGACCAAGACTAAACGAAAAATTACTTTCGGTGGATGTATGTGTTAAACTATTTGAAGCAACTTCAATATACATATTCTTTTCCTGGAACAAAACGTTTTTAGTATTTGAAATTTTTAGTTTGCTTTCCTGGATTTTAACACTAAATTTAAAAAAAGAAACATTACCACTGTTTGACAAAAGGGTCTACAAGAATGTCCACACTTTCCAAAACGGACAATATAATAATGAGCAATCTATGAACTAGATGTATGATTAGATATTTTAATTAACGTGAAATTTTTTATGCTAGCCACTGTGCAATACCTAATAGTTCCAAATTGTGTCATGAATTGTCTTAATATGTTTGAGAGAATATATGAACTGTTCAAAATGATTGGACTTGTCGAAATGACAAAGATCATCTTTCATTATTTAAAAGAATTTTATTTTAACGAGTATTTCTTAAATCAAAAGACAGACTACGACATGTCGGCTAGACGGTTTATTATCTGGTATTGTTATATTTATTCGTATTATTGACTTTTACCTACAGAAGAAGTTCGAAGTCTCTTCGTGAACAAATGTGCAATTTACAATAATAATCGAGGTAAATACAGACCACTGCGCTGGGTTGAAAGCATTGCTTATAATGTGCAATTACTGTAGGCAAGTACCGTGCAATGTATGCCATCAGATAACAAGGCAAATATAAAAAGCGAAGTCGTTTTTTTAATTCATTAAGGGAAAAATTACGTTACGACTTCGACGGAATTTATGCCTTCTATTGATTCGAAATTCTGACTGTTTTCTTCATTAAAGTAACTACTATCAAAGGTAAATACCTAGACGAGTGCATAAAATATCAGGCTAGTATCAATCTATTTTTTTAATGGGTTTATACCATCAACTTGAGTGTGTTTATTGAGCAAATTTTAATTCATTTACACTGAAGGGAAAAAATACTATTTTCCAAGGAAAAATCACTTAATAGAAGGAAATGACTGTTTTAAATATTGCCTGGTACTGGTAAAATGTATCCGAAAATCCGATCAGCAATAGCATGAATGCCTGATACAAGACACGAATTTTAGTGTAATCTAAATACATGTATCAGGATGATTTTCCGGAATCAATCGCTCTTCAATACTTTAGGAAGTGAAGTAACATTTAGATTTAAAAGTTACCATTACGTCCTCGTGAAGCTGAAATTTCGTTGACGTTTTCGCAATTACTACTTCTGATTTTGCACTAGACATACAAATGGAGCTGCAACGTAGAGAAGTATATATTAGGAAGGTAGTCAGACATGGATGCACACTGTCACCGCTACTTTATAATCTATACATTGAAGACGCGACTATTAGCATCTAGCAAGGAAGAGTTAGAGATAGCTTTAAATAAAATGGATGCGGTACTGACAAAATAGTATTGTATGAAAATAAATAAAATTAAAACAAAATACAGGTATGCAAGGGAAGAAATAGTAAGGAAAGAGCGAATGTAAAGATAGGAGACGAAGCATTAAAAGAAGTGGCTGATTTTAGTTATTTAGGAAGTCAGATAAGTCGTCAGGACGGAAGGAGTAGTAGGGATATAAAGCAGAGGATTGCGCAGGGTCGAGTCGCTTTCAATAAAAAGTAGTCACTTCTATCTCCTTAAACGGTTAATTTAGAAATTCGAAAAAGTATGTTTGGGGCGGCTAGCGCGACGGAAAAGAAATGGTTAGAGGCATTCGAAATGTGATGAGGAGTTGGAGAAGGTTAGAAATGAAGAGGTATTAGAAAAAATAGAAGAGCAGAGAACTCTGAAGAAGTCAACAAAAAATAGACGACGTAGGTTGGTAGGACACCTTCTCAGGCATGAAGGTCTAGTCAGAGACATATTAGAGGCAGAAACAGGAGTTAGGAGGGATAGAGGTAGACCTAGATTAGATTACTATTCGTAAATAGTTATGAATGTGGTTTATTATAGTTTTGGGGAAATGCGAAAATTAGCATAGGGTAGGAAAGAGTGGAGTTGCGTGTCCAACCAGTCTTAGGACTGGCGACCTTATGACGATGATACCAGTGATACCATCTTCAAGACACACTCAAGCTCAATCAGGTTTTATATTTGTGAGTATTCATTTATTTATGTGGATTGGCGCATCTTTCCTCTTTTACTGCGACATTGGGAAAACCTCGAAAGGCTGCAAAGTACAATGGAAAGATAAAAAGTAAAAGATACATATAATGATACGTATTTCCCAAAGGATTCGAATGTAGCCTTTGGATACACAAATAGTATCCATTCGTGTCTATTTATGAGGTATTTAACAGTTTTAAAAGTAGCACAATTGAATTTGGTTTTTGAATAAAATGAAAACCTATTACACATTCCCGAAACAAATCCACTTCTAAAGCTCTAAAGCTTTGAGCTTTTTTCGTAATTCTAAAATTTATCGCCAGCCACCCCTATGGCGTGGCGTATACGTCCTATTGGCAAATCCAGCGTTGAAAAAACTTGTTGCTGATAAGTTGTAGGTATGACTAGTACGAAGAACAGTTTTGGCTAAATCTGAAGGTCCATTGACTAATTTACTCATTTTAAACTGTTCATAATTTTATTTTGAGATTTATCAGTGTAAAAGTATTTAATCATAAACTTGCCGTTAATTGGCAGTTGTGTAATAATAAAAATTTGCAACTCGAAATTTTCATTTAAACTAAAAATTTTTATTAAAAAGAACTACTCTAACAAATACTTTTTTCCTGATAGGAATATCTTAAGTGACGTCAGACTTTTGTTACAGATGTAGAAAGAGAGAAGGCATTGGCTAATGTTCCTTCAAATATATATGATACAATGTGTGTTCCTGATTTGGGAATGTACTTGGAGTACAGTCAACCTCCCGTTCTTCCCGGTGAAGATCGAAAACCCATTAGTGTAACTCCTGCCCCCGCCCACACACCAACCCCCGCCGCTCCAGCACCTATTAACAACAATTTCGTGCATGACGGTAAGTCTTTTTTAATTCATTTGTTTATCCTCATTTTTATATCATAACTAATGTAAAAGCGCATTCAGTTTCAACACTAAATTGAAATAATTTCAGTAATTTTATTTTTATTTTATTTTATTTTCAATATAAGTACAGGCAAATGCCCATTTACATGTTTAGGAAATATATACAGGTGTTTAAACAATATATCAATTTTATAATAAATTTATCATAAAACTTTCGTTATTATAACAAAATAAATTTTGACTCTATCTCAATAAAATAAAAAATTAGTGTAAGTAAACTGATATACAGAATTATTCAAATGAGGAAACTTTTAGTTTAACCTCAGTTTTAAATTTATCAATTTTTTGGTCAAGTATGTTTACTAGATCTAAATTATTATTAATAAATTTTGTGGCTCTATATAAACAAGATTTCTCAAAATAATTACTTTTATCAAATTTAACATTAAAAGGACGTTGATGACGCAAATCTAGAATCTGTGAGTTTAAATCTATACGTGCTAAGAGGTACTCTGAATTAATATATTCATATATTACTTTGTATAGTAGAAGTATATCCTGATAACACATATGAGCCTTTAATGAAAATATGCCCAAAAAAGTAGCAATATCCGTAAAGTCATGTTCATCAAAATTCATAGGTTTACCAATCTTATAGGACATAGCTCTAAGAAATTTACGTTGAACACTTTCAATTTTATCAGAGTAGATATTATAATATGGCGACCATATTACTGATGCATACATTAATATAGATTTTACAATAGAGTTATATAATACAATAAGAACCTTATAATCAGTAAATTCTTTTCCAATACGCAAAATGTAATATAATTTCTTTAAAGCATTATTTACAATATATGTAATATGTTGGTCAAATGTAAGTTTTTCGTCAAAGATAACTCCAAGATCTTTCATTTCATTTACTCTAGTAAGAATAGTTTCGTCAATTTTATATTCAAAATAATTTAAGTTAGCTTTAGAAAAAGACATAACATAACATTTAGTAGCATTAAATAGTAAAGAATCATTCGAAAATTTAGAAATTAAAATACTTAGATTATTCATAATTCTGATATAAATCTTACTGAAAACCGACGGAATACAGACTTTTTGATATATCATGTTAAAAATCGTATTTACTACTCGAATTAAATGCTTCACTAAATAATTTTTATACTAATTAAATTTACAAGTATTTCTCATAAAAAAGTTACCTTTCTGACTTTACGTATGTTACTTTAAGAGCTATATGTAGAGTACCAAAATTCATTCCATCCAAATAGGATAAAAATGTATCAACATCAGTTATTATTAACTAATCATTTATTTAATAACTATGCCTGTGATTAAATCTGCAATATGAATTACACTAATTGTTGTTCTGACTGGAATTCCAAAAAAAAAAAGAAATAGCCTCGTGGTTGATCCTTGTTGCAGCACAACCTAAAAATTAGAGTATATGGTTGACAAGGTTGTGAAATAATTTTTTTTGCATCAAATTATACGTGGTGCATGTGTATATTATATTATTATTTATTTAGACATAGCCATAGTGGTTGGCTGGTTAGTAATTGTTTGAGTCAGTCACTTCGGTCCATTAATAATTTCCTTAGAAGCGGAGTTGCGTGAATGACGTGATGATTACAGATTTTAATGTCTCTTGTGCAATAATAGGAGAGTATATACCGTTACGGTGAAGTATTCCGAAAGTTGGTATTACTTAATCTAGGTTAATATGTTATACTTATGTATATATTTAACCGACGGACTCTAGGAATCGGTTGAGATTGTTTTATGTGTATACATGGTGAACAGAGATGTGATTTATTTGAAATACTTGCACTTAAAATGCAAATACAAAATTAAAGTATCCATTTTTCTCTTGCATTTAAATACTTTTTTGAGAAAAACATTTTGTATTTTATTTAAAATACTTTTCCAAACGTATTTTCTATTTGTAAAATGTAAAATACATTTTTGCTGTATCACTGATCAAACTTTATATAAAACGATGAATGAGAGAGTTGCTCACAAGGGGACAAAGAGGCATTTCATTCATGCCTTCTGATTCTTTAACTGAAGAGAGCCCAAAAAATTGTAAATTCCTTGGGAATGGATAATCTAAATTGGATCGATATTGTTTTCCGGGTTCAATGTCATGGTCCATGGAATTTTGAAGTTTCAAATTGATATCAACACCTGCCAAATCACCACATATCGTACCTTTAGCAAGGAACTACTAAATTCTACGAATTACGACAAAACAGCCCACAAAACAATATCGAATTGATATACGCCAGCTGAGTAAAACTGAAAACTACAAGATATTGTGGTGTACTAATAAATTCCTTAAATTCAAAATTCTTAGAAAACGATTCGAAAAACTTCACGTATTGGATGAACCCAAATCTAAAGAAACTATGGCTTCCATTTTCTTCTTCCATTACAATGTGTAAAAGATCAGAAACAAAATGGGGTTGTAAATATTTTGATATAAAATAAATGATGTTGATTTTACATCAATAAAATTATTTGCAACCCTATTTTGGTTCTGATCTTTCACGCTAAACAAACTATTTTGGCATCAGTGTCTTTTTTCCAAATTAAAACGAGTGACAAAGGTAAATTATGAAGCATATAGAAGAATTAGTTGTTGCTAAACTGAAGAAACTATAACATAAAGATAGAAAAACTATCGTAATCACTTTAGACGAAAAAATGAATCATACTTAATCTTCGCAGCTGGTGATATAGTACAAACACCACTATTAGTCTAGAAAAACTCCAATATTTAAGAAATGTGTAAATGCCTGCAAGGTTTTCTTAAAAAATATTTTATACTTAAGTAAACGTAGAAAATTAAATAAAAAAAAATATTTATTTGAGAAAAGTATTTTGAAAAAACCTATTTTGCATTTAACATTTACAATACAAAAGGGAAATCTATTTTGTGTTTTACATTTCAAATAACAAATAAAAAACTATTTGCATTTTGTATTTAAATATACTTTTAAAAAGCCGTTTTGCACATCTCTGTTTGTTGGTTTGTTTATTACCATTTCACGCTTTAATATCTCAAACGATTATCATGAAATTTTGTACACAAGACTTTTTATTGTCCATTGCATCCCTTAGCTTGGATAATATGAAGTCTAGTTCAAGGCAATTAAGGATTGGAAGGTTTTTATTTATAAAAAACTAACACCGACGTTTCGCCTCTATTAGGGAGGATTTTTTACTAAAGAACCTACCTTGAAAAAATTTTCCAAATAGAGAGACGAAACGTCGGTGTTGGTTCTTCATAAATAAAAACCTTCCAACCCTTAATTGTCTTAGACTTAACAAGACTTTTTCTTCTGTTAGGTATTAAAGAAGTATTATAATTTTGTTTATGAGACTTTTTATGTTTGTCCCAATAGATAAGCCACTATATTATTGTTAGTTATTAACAAATATTGTTTGTTTCAGGTTAGTAAACAGCGCAACCATTTCATCAATTGGTGAGTAAGAACCTACAATGCTTGTATTTTATAATACTTTATGAAAACGATGCAGTGGTGTATCTAGTTTAGAAATTTATACATCGATAATCTATTTTAACATCAATTTTTCACAAATAATATACGTCAAAGCTTCTACTTCAATCATATCTTTCAAATAATGAAATTTACGTTTTTTGAACTTTGTAATTGTTCATTAGTACATCCTATTTGTACATTGAACATTAGTACATTCTAATTGTACTTCACGTTCAACCGGTTTGAATTTGAAACTGCTGTGCTGATATGCGGTTAAAACTTCTTCGAGTAGCGCTCTCTTTAGCACAACTGCGAAACATCCTGCACTATTGAAGGGCATCTGTAACGAAGAAAACTAGAACTTTTCACGGTTACAGTTTTCCTTCGATATGATGTATGGTACAGAATCCTTTATCGATTTTATAGCAGCTTTACAGATTTCGTCTGAAAACAAATTTCTACTTTTATTCTAAGTAAANGCATCTAGCAACGAGGACTTAGAGATAGCTTTAAATAAAATGGAAGCGGTACTAACAGATCAGTACTGTATGAAAATAAATAAAAGTAAAATTAAAATACTAGTATGCAAGGGAAGAAAAAGTAGGGAAAGAGCGAATATAAAGATAGGAGATGAAAAATTACAAGAAGTAGCTGATTTTAGGTATCTAGGAAGTCAGATAAGTAAGGACGGAAGGAGTAGTAGGGATATAAAGCAGAGATTAGCACAGGATCGAGTCGCCTTCAATAAAAAGAAGTCACTTCTACGCTCGCAAACGGTAAATTTAGAAATTCGAAAAAGATTTTTAAAGGTGTATGTTTGACATTGGGCTCTGTACGGGTGCGAAATATGGACGATGGGCGCGGCGGAAAAGAAAAGATTAGAAGCGTTCGAAATAGGTGTTGCATGCGAATGATAAGGATACCGTGGATAAAGAAGGTTAGAAATGAAGAGATATTGGAAATAATAGGAAACAGAGGACTCTTTGGAAATCAATAAGAAATAAGCGAGAGGTTGGTAGGACACCTTCTCAAGCATGAAGATCTAGTCAGAAACATATAAGAGGCAGAAACAGGAGTTAGGAGGGGTACAGGTAGATCTAGGTTAGATTACTGTTCGCAAATAGTTAAGGATGTGGGTTGTTCTAGTTTTGGGGAAATACGAAGATTAGTTCAGGATAGGAAACAGTGAAGGTGCGTGTCCAACCAGTCTTAGGATTGACAAGCGTATGATGATGACGACAATATATGTATAACAATTCCCATGTTATTGAATGTTGCCTATCAACATTTAGTGTAATCTAACAGAATTTTTTTCAAAGTTTGTGTAGTAGATAGATTGGAAGTAATCGTTCACAGTTGACAGTGTATCATAAGAATGTTTTCGTGTTTGTCAACGGTTTGTTTGCAGATTTAAAAGTTATATATTCCTGCATCCTTGGGGTTGTTTCATTGAAAAATTCTGATTATTGTA